CAAATTCATATGTTGAAATCCTAACTTCCAAGATGATGGTATTAGGAGGCGGGGCCTTTGGGAGGTGGCTAGTCATAAGGATGAAGCTGTCATGTATGGGAACACAGCACTTATAAAAGGGACGCCTAATAGCTCTTTCCTCCTTTTCACCCTGAAGGGATGCAACCAGGAGTCTGCAGTTTCAGGAAGAGGGACCTCACCAGAACTCAACTATGCTAGCATCCTGATCTCAGACTTCCAGCCTTCAGAACTGTAAGAATAAATTCCTATTTTTTAGAACTCATCCAGTCACCCAGCCCAAACCGCTGAGATAGTCACCGGGATATTACAAAGATTCAGTGTCATCATGTTTGTCAAGTTCCTAACTCAACCCACAGAGGACAACCATAATCGCAACTCCTATCAGACCAATGTGGTTTCATGAAGGCAGTCCCGGCTTTGACACTAAGAACCCATGTTCAAGACTCACTTCACCACCTATCAGCAGTGTGACAAAGGGTGTCATTCAACCTACCTGAGCATCAATCTTCATAAAAGTAGGCCCATGATGCCTACTTTCAGATGTGGTTTTTAGGAGTCAAAGCATGTATGTAGCAAATACAGTCACCGACAGTGGCCAGGCTGGCAAAATGAACAAGTGAAACAGCCTGGGTATGGCAAGCTGGAGAGCAGCCATGCAGGGCACCCATAATGCTGCACTAGCTGTTTCCATCCAGAATGTGTGGGGCTATTGTTATCTAATGTGATTTTTTTAAAGAGAAGCAAGAAATTTTAATTTCTATAGGAAATTCATCAGTTTTGAAGGGTTAGCAAATACTAAGAAAACATTCGGGCACCATAGTAGAGGCCACTGATGGTAAATTGGATTCCCAGTTGTTTACGTATACCCTTTGCCATGAAACTTTGCAGGAGACAGAGTATGTTTCTCCCCACCATGGATGCTGGGCTTGTCCCTGTAACTTGCTTTGGCCAATGGCTGCAGTGTGAGCAGATGTGTGTTGTTATGTATGTGTGATTTGGCTTGGTTTCTTATACTTCTGCCATCTGCCGTGAGAAGAGCATGATCTGGGGAGCCACTGTCCCAGAAAGAGACACAAGGGGCAAACTCGAAGCAGAGCTGCCCCAGCTGATGCAGAGTCAGTTCCTTGAATGAAAAAAAAGAAAATACTGGTTGCCATAAGCCACTAAGACATTTTTTGAGATTATTATAGAGAAAAACCCATCTCACATATTACTCTTGGGTACCTAGTTGGAGACCTCTGAGGAAAAGCATCTGACAAGTGACTGGCACATTGTATGTACTTATTAAATGGTTACCCTTATGATTATTCTGTGGTTGCTAGATCTTATGGGGTTTCTATAATAGAAGGTAGGCTTGGTTAAACACTTGTGAAATGTTTGTTTTGTGCTGACTTGAAACTTGAACATACCCATCTCTGTTTACTTCTCACCTTCTTATATACCTACAGGGATAAATTCCAAGTTGTTCCATAGAATTACAGACTGTTTAAAACATAACAGGACAATATCATGATTTCTTGCTTGTGAGTTTTTTACTATATCCCAACAACATGTATGGCAGAGGTTGATATTAAGGATACAGATTAAAATGATTAAACTTCTTGGAGCTGAAAATGTTTAGTGGGACAGTGAAGAGAATTCAACAGCAACAAAAACTTGTAAGAAAAGTGCTGAGGTAGAAGGAAGAAGCAGGTGCTCTTGGACCCCAGAGGGAGCCATCAGTGCTAACTAGAACTGGGGAGACATCTCATAGGCCTTGAGAAGGAAGCAGAGTTTGTGAAGATGAACAGCTTTGGTTATGTAATATGAAGGTAGAGAAGGCATTGTAAGAGGTAAAATATGCAAACGTAGAAACATTTGGTGTATCAAGAATAGGCAGGAATCTAGTGAATGAGGTACAAGTGAAGGAAGAACTAAAGACAAAACTGTAAGGTAAGCTGAGGCCAGGTTATACATCACCTTGAATGTCATAGATGTTTTCTTTAAAGATGGCTGTCATCACGTCCTCCCCTTCTGGTATGCACGTACCACTTACTGACCACAAATGGAGTCTGTCCCTCGGTGCCTTGAATTTGGGTTGGCCTATGAGAGCTCTGGTGGATGGCATACAGAGGAAGTGACTCAGTACCAGTTCTGGCCACTGGCAATTTCTGTACCCTCTGTCTTGAAATGCTGGCTCTTGGCACACTCCCTCTTAGAGCCCAACCATTATTTTGTGTGAACCCCACACAGAGACAATCTACATGCACTCTAGTCTACTGCACTGGCTAAGTTCCTACCCAGTAGCCATTACTGTGAGTGCACCATCTAGGATATCTAGCCTGGTCAAGCCTCTTATGACGTCAGCCCCAGCTGACATCTGACACGCTAAGATTTAAGTCACCTGGCAGAGACCAATGAGCTCCCAGAAGGGTTAATAGTAATAATAACAACAATAATAAATTGTTCTCTTGAGTCAATGAGTTTTGAATTGGTATGCTATGCCATGATAGGTAACTGGAATAGACGTGAATACACTGTTCTAAGTATCATCTCCAATGATTGTGCTATAGTTTGAATGTGTCCTCTGAATTTTGTGTTGAAAACTTAATCCCACAAGTTATGTTAATGGCATTAGAATGTAAGGTCATTGGAAAGCAATAAGGATTAGATAAAGCCATCAAGGCGGGACCCCATGATGGCACTGGTGGTTTTATAAGAAGAGGAAGAGTGATCTAAGCTTGCAAGCATTTTCCCTCTCACCATGTGCTGCCTTCTGTTATGACGCAAGAAGGTCCTCACTAAATGACATGCTTTTGGACTTCCCAGCCTCTAGAACTTTGAACTAAAAATAAACTTATTTATGAATTACCCACTATAGTATTATGTCATAGCAACAGAAAATGGACTAAAACAGATTACATATATGGATGACTTTAAAGAACTAATAAAAGAAAAGCTAAAATGGTGAGGTGGGGTGAGAACAAACTGGAAGTTCTCTTAGCAGAACATAAGTGGGAAAGCAATAAAGCAGCAGTTTCTTGATTCTTCCTTTGGCTTTGTAGCTATCATACTGTACATTTTCTTCAAAATGCTAATATGCAAGGGAGGCAACATGATATTCTAGGGGAAAAAAGATCAAACGGGCTTTGTGGTCAAAGGAGAACCAGATTCAAATACAAACAGTGTCACTTCTAATGTATGAGACCAAGAGCAACTAACTTAATGGAACAGGTGCTTTGTGTCCACCCAGGTGTCCTTTATGAAGCCAGAACACCCACCCAAGATGCTGTGACTGCTGTCATCTAGTTGGCTTCTTCTCTGCAGGCTTCCCTTGGTGACAGGACTATTGTGCTCTGAAGAGTTCAACCCCTTCACACACCCTGGGGATGGTCCCCAGACAACAAAGGACTAATATAGGTGCATAAAATGCTGGTCTCTACAATGAGGTCTATGTCTCAAAGCCCTCTCTCCATGGATCAGACCTAGGAAAAGACTACTGAGGCTCACAGCTTTTCTGGGTTCTCTTTCCTTCCCTAACCTGCTTCCTTCACTCCCTTAAAGCTCCCCCTCCCCCAGAACATTCTTTTGACAAACTCAAGTCCCTGAATCTCTCTCTTTTTTTTTTTTAAGTTGGAGTCTCATTCTGTCACCCAGACTGGAGTGCAGTGGCCACTCCCGGTCACTGCAGCCTCGACCTGCTGGGCTCTGGTGATCCTTCTACCTCAGCCTTCTAAGTAGCCAGAATTACAGGCATGCGCTACCACGCCCGGTTGATTTTTTGATTTATTATAGAGATGAGGTCTCGCCAAGTTACCCAGGTGGGTCTCGAACCTGCGGGCTCAGGCAATCCACTCACCTCAGCCTCCCAAAGCGCGGGATTACAGGCTGAGCCACTGACCCCAGCTAAGTCCCTGAATCTCAACCCCAGGTTCTACTTCTGGGAATCTCAACTCAAGACACTTACCTTTCCTAAGCTTTCCTTTTTCAAACCCTATTTTTCAGATTTCACTGAGATATCTTCCTTATGGACATACAGTGAAAAAATATAGGGAATGTCCTTTTAACATAAAAAATCCTCCCAGTGAGTTTTCTATACTTTGTATAGAAAAAAAAATAGACAAGAGAGACACTGATTTTTAAAAATTGAAATATTAATGCTTACTCAATGGAGGTACTGTAAGAACTCACTGAAATCATGTCTCTGAGCCTTAAGTAGAGTTCTTTAGTGCAGAATAAGCACTTGGTGAGTGGAAGTGACCGCCTTTCCACTTGACTACAGCTCCATACACTATTTAGTCCAGTTTTTCGTCATTGTGTCCTCGGTAGGCACAGTGCTCAGCACAGAGAAGGAACTCACTCCTGTGTTTGCTCAAGAAACTGCAGTGAACCAGAACAGAAACCATACTCTATACAAAGTGGCACAGGTTCCAGGACAGTTCACCAGTGGCCTTGAGCCTACTTAGTTCTCCCCTCTTTCTTGCTTGTAGTGCTCAAGAATAGCTATAACACAGACTGGGAATGAAACATCCTGAGATAAGGGGTGACTACCTAGATTAGCCTGAGCTTTGTCCCAACCCATCCCCCAGAAACAAGATGCCCCTCAATGCTTTAGCCCAGCGTGTCACATGACTCCAGGGATAAAACCAAGGTGGGGTGCTATCCAGGGTCGCTCAGCTGCGGTGCAAGTGGGACGCATACAGTCAAGACTGCTCAGGGTTTTTCTGAGCCTTGAGGGACTGGCTCCCATGAACCCCAGGCTTCTTTTGGCTCTTGTTATCCATCTATAAGTAAGAAACCCATTTCATGTAACGTGTTGTGAGTGTATTATCTCATTAGACTCAGACAGGTTGGTAATCAGGGAATGGTGAGCCTGCTTCACACAGGCTTTGTGATTTCACTCCATTTGGAGTCTGGACCATGAATCTAATCTCAATTTTTCTTATAATTATGGGCAGATTGCTGCACACGTACACACACAAATAATCAGATTCACTTGCTTTGGTCATTAACACAGTTTATTATTGGCACACTTATCAGTAAAGCATACATAAAATACAGCTGTTTTTTTTTTTAAACACACGGAGCCACTGTGTCTTTACATTTGTGAAGGAACATATTAATATGCAAATGGAAAAATTAGTTCTCTTATAAAGTTTCACATAAATACACTGGAATTGCTCAGAAAAAGAAAAATCCCCATAAAAGAACCAGGTGATGGCTTTACAAAATATCATACAAGAAATATACCATGAAAAGAAAAACCGGTCAACTCAAGTACAATTAAAAACACAAAAAGTTTCAGATTTATTAAACTGCCCACAAAAGTAATGTATTACATGGCTTGAAAATATTTGGATCAACAGCAACTTTACAAATGCATAAATTCTCAAAGGTCCAATTGCCTTTCTTTACATAAAAATCTGCCCTGGTGTCTGATGACAGAAAGACATTTCTTGTTTCAGCACTGAGGCTAAATTGAGCCAACTCAGACTCCAGAACCAATTGACATCAGCTAGACCATAAATTACCTGGCTGGGCCTTCTTCGCTGTTGCCCAATAAAATAAAACATAGGAAAAAAAATGAAGGTACATTTAAATTACTTTCCAAAGCTGATTTTTTGTCTTTTCTTTTTTTACTGAAACAAGAAACTCTCAGGTGCAAGTCAAAAAGCAGAAAATATTTTACAATATTAAAAAGTCATCTGTGGTTAGATTCGGCATATTCACGATATCCTGAGCACTGAGCATTTGTGGACAATATGGCCTTCGTTTGATACATAAAAAGGAAATTCAACACAAACACGTTGTTAAAACCGTGCCAGGAGATGTGCTAGCATTTTCTCTCATTTTAATTATGATCAGTGCCAGTATATGTATTACCTGTGAAGCCCTCCAAGAAAGGGTCATGGAAGCTTATTTGGAATAATCCTCTCAGTTAGAAAAAAAGAAGAAAGGAAATCAGATCATTGTGGTTTAGAAATAGATATATGCATGGAAAAGTTTTTGTTTCTCCTTTTTCCTCTCCTGTAGGTCAAGATCTGCCATTTTAATGATCACCCACGGGCCTATTGACAATGGATTCTGGTGCCCATCATCTTATTGAGAAGCCTGGGGTGGGGGGTTTTCTGATTTGGTCTCTTGAGTGGTGGGAGGTTTACTGTTCCACGGGCTGTTGTTCCCCAGGGCAGGTGAATTGTTGAAGTCCTCCTCGTCGTCCATGCCGTTGGCCGCATCATATTGCGTGTTTTCTAATCTAGTGATTAGCCTTTCGTCCTCGTCCCCAAACTCACCTCCCATCAGAGTTGGCTCTCCTACCACCATCACATCCTGTGAACAGCAGCTGACATTATTACAGGGAAACCTTGGGAGAGAGAAACTCAGCTTAAAATAACAGTGGGAGGAGTCGGGGGATCTAGGACAGACACACTCGTGTACTGTACAATGGGGTCAAGTCTCAATGTCGGGGGCCGAGACGCATGTTTGATTTTTACAGGAAATAAACATCGCCTCCTGACGTGTAACAACCACGCGAGTTTATGTCCTTAGTGCGCAGCCTGACACCGGAGAACGAGCAATGCTAGCAATCTGCAGAAATAAAAAAATGGATTTTTCAAAATTAAAAAAATCCACGCTTTCAACTTGTCGACACTGGGGACTTTTGAGAGGGCTGTGGAACCTTCTGCTGGGTGCTTTTCAATACCTCCAAAAATTCGCCACTTTTATTTAGGGCCTGTGAGTGGCTTCAGAAACTAGCAGCGACCAGAGACACTTGTAAGGTGCAATTCTGCCATAGCCACACAACTCATTCCAGACGGTATTTTCTCTGTCCCAGGGATGGTATACATTTTAATTGAAGACAGAATCTCTCTTTTCTCTACTCAGCCAGGCCCTTTTACGCAGCCAATATCCTTGACATTCTGCTACTTAATTATGGTAATTAATTTAGGTAAAGTTTTCGATAAAAACAATGTTCACACTGATTTGACAATTTGCATAGCTAATTAAGTCATTAGCAAAAACCTGCTGATTGCCAACAAGCCCTGAATTTACCATCTGTTATTTCATGGTGCCTGTCACCTATCACCACACAGGCAACCCTGCCACCCATCTGGGCAGTAAAGAGAACCAGTCTGTCCAGCTGGTGCCATAAAAGGAAGATGAAGAGTGCTAATTATAATTACATTGATGAAGCTGGTAGTCATCAGAGATGGAAGCATGCAAGAAGAATCCATCTAATCACTCTTTTAAGTACAAATTTTCCTTCCATGCAAACAAGTAAACCACCTACTGTAGCTGGGAGTACCGGGGAGGCCATAGCCGGAGAGGCACAGGGACAGGGGGAAAGAGGCACGCCCAGGGCATAGCTCCAGCCTTTTTTTCAAAGGAGACCATGTGGGACTGATGGGTGACCTTGGCATGGGACAGGACACCTGTCAGGTGGATTCTTCTGGGCAGCCTCTGAGCAATACTCTACTTAAAAGTACAGTGACTTCAGGAAAGTGACCAACTGCTATCAGCCTCCACTGAGGCCAGAAAAAGCAGGGCTGGGCCAGATGCTTTTTGGAGATTAGAAGGTGGAGTTCCTAGGAAGGAGGCTAATTCATTAAAACACTTTGACAACAGGACAGGAATTTTTTTCACTGGAGTTTTGCCCAGAGAAGGCTTTCCTGGAGCAGTATAACAGAATACTGCCTATGGTCAGGGGAGGGGCCAGCGGGATCTCCAAATCCCTTTCAGAATTTTGAAGATGCCCCTTGAACAAATTCCTTAATTACTACCTGCTGTATTTGGGAACAGAAAACCTTATTTTATTTATGTTTTTATTTCCTCCCTACCCCTTGAGTTAGGGAAGATAATCAATAGGTTTCCAAACTAAGTTTTTTGACTACACACTCTTGTGACTGGATAAAAGTGATTTTAAAGAGAAATGTCTCAGATGACGTAAATGCCTAAAGTGTGAACTTGGTAAACCCAGCCATGAAGAAGCTGATGGATATCAGATGCATGCTTCCAATAATGTATTTATTATGCAACAAAGAACCAGAAATGACAGTGACGTTTAAGGAGACTCATGAAGACTGTTAAGGTGAGGTGCAAGTAGACACAGTTCTTCTGACTGGCAAGAACGACGAAAGAATTTTAGATGGAATGTGGCCACTGCAGAGACATGATCGTTACTTGGTTAGCCAGGCAGCTGCCATATGACCTGCTGGGGGTGTTCAAGGTAAAAGAGCGCCACTTGGTTACAGGCAATTAGAGGTCTGTATTTATGGTCAGGAACAAAAGTAGATGGAAAGAACAGCGCAAGATTGGCCAGAACAGGACATAAGGGTTAATCTCATTTCACGACTTGTGTACTACATACTTGGAATGACTTGGAGACACATGCGTAAGATGTCATGGAGTAGGAGAAGGATGTTAGAACCAACCATGTGGGACTGCATTAGTACCAAAACTCCAAGGTCACTGCGAGAGGATGGGAGAGCATGAGAGGGCAAGCATAATTTGAAAAAGGAGGAGAAAAATCAGAAGCAGCCAGGATATTAGAAAAGTTTCCAACACTCCAACTGCATTCATGATATTAGAAAACAACAGTCATTCAAGAAAAGTACTACAAAAATAGTGGTTTGAATCACTTCAAATGAAGCTGACATCGGCTTGCAGTATGTTTGTTGAATCAGTTCTAGGAACAGCTGGAAAAGATGGCCAGGCATAGGTGTTTTCAAGCATCCTGGATTTCAGAGGGATGCCACATTTGATTGACTGGTTATACATATACCCTCAGCCTGATGCATGATTGTGTGTATATGTGAGATTGATAGATGGCAAGCTAAGGGCTTCATATGCACATAGATACTTGAGGCCACTTACAACATTATGCACGTCTCTACTTCTGCACCTCTAGATCAGGGAACTGCTTTTCTGCTGTGGCAGTCTGGATGTGGTTTTCTCAGTGTACACCTGGCTGCCTACAGCTAGGTGATGTTAACACCTCCACACCCCCACGCTTTTAGAAATCCCCCCGACATTGGCAGTGAGAGTCCATTTCCTTCCCATCTTTGTCCTGCGTGTCCCACGGGAGGCAAAGCGATCCCTCTGGGAGTGACCCAAATGCGCTCGGCTCCCCACAAGGCCAGCTCCTGTGCCTCAGCTGGAAGCCTGGAGGTGCCACCAGCTCCTGCCCGTTTTTTCATCTTCTCACTAATCCCCCGTGCAAAGACCACCAACCTCTGAGGAGGACTGGAAGTGACTCCTTTCAGGGCCCCTCAATGCTTCTCCTTAAATTGGCCAGAAGGGGTCACTGCTGTTGAATGACACAGGTCTCCATCCCTCCCAGGGTTGAGGCTGCAGTTCGGGAGCGCTCCTAGCCCCTGCTCATGGGGTGAGAAGCAGAATCCAAGGATTAAAGCCTCGCCCTCGCCAGACACATGCATCGCTGCCGCGGCAGCCACACACACCACGGCTGTGGTCATAGTGGCACATGCCTTTGGACCAGGCAGCGGAGGCCTGCAGAGAGCACTTCCATTTAACCGGTAGGAGAGTGTTGATAATTCAGTGAACAGGGTTAAAAGATGCAGTCGCCAGAAGTCAACCAAGGCTGATCATTGAACATCTATTCAACTCCAGGACACATAAGGACATTCATTTTGCACATTTTCCTGCCTCTCTTGGCCATCTGAAAGTTTTACTTCATTAAAACATCTCTGACTTCAGGATGAGGGGATAGTGTTGCTGTTCCCTTCTCGCTTTCTAATGGTGCCTTGCTCATGAGAAGTCCAGAGGGTCTCAACTCATGAAAAACCCTCAGGACACAGATATCCTCTGCTAAAATGCAGTTGTTGGTTTGGAGGACAGGAGTATGTTAGAGTAGAGAAAACTATGTGTCCTTTTAAGCAAAATTGAAATAATTCTGACTAGACCAGGTGTGTCAAAATGCAACACATTATGGGTTGCTACTCTCAACTTCTTCACCCGTGGCAGACATCACTAATGGATGGCCCACCAAACCCAGTTTAGGTCTTAGAATTCTCATTTATCTGTACTCCGTGAGCTGGCTGAAGAGGAGAAACCTCTTTGCCATCCCTAGATTAGACAGTGAGCTCTTCAATGACAAGGCCTCGGTCTGGTTTTTTTTTTTTTTCCCATCATGGTAGTGCCAGTGGGGAACACAGGGAAGGAGCTCAAAAAACATCTGTGGAACTGATTCTTATACCTACTGTGCCTTTAAGTAGCTATGTCATAGATCCTAGAATTCTCTGAAATACACTGTTCCTATTTGTTAGAGACTAACAAATGTTAATATCTTAATCTCCAAAATAAGATAAATAGATGTGTATACCTTTTCAGCTTATTTATTCATATCAGACCATTTTCTCTAAGATTTTCCAGTTTACCAGAAGTGGGGATAACTTGGTACCTTAACAATTACACTAAGTTTTTTGTTTTTTTTTTTTTAATTATTTACCTCTTGACCTTCATGGGAGATAGATGTAAAGCCTAGTTCAAAAAATAGAGGACTGTTTGAGGAATATCTTCATTAATTGAGAACTAAAATTTCTAATAGTCTTAAAATTAGAATGGCACCTTCTATAGTAGGCTGGCCATCCTCTCCACTACTCCTTTCTGAGGCAATGGGAATGGAGACAATACACCATGTCTATGGAGATAAGAGAAGAGTCCCAATGGCCCAGAGAAGTCTCAGAGTACTGACAGAGTTGCTTCTGGCCAAAGAGAACTTCTAGTGGAAAGTGGGTAAAGGTAGGTGGGGCAGATTTAAAAGACACATTAGGAAGAGAGTGGAAAATCCCTTCCTGTGTAGGTCCAGCCTTGCATGAAGCGATGGAACAGGATCAGAACAAGATGGGTGAGGACAGCAGACCGAGGGAGGGAAAAAGTGAGAGAGACCAAAAAGGTAAAATTGTATTGTGAAGGGTATAGCAAGAAATAGGCCAGCTTCTGAAAACATCTAGAAGGCATGAAGCACCAAGAAAGGTTTGGGATTCAAATGACAGTCCAATGCCTGGTGACAGGGTGATGTGATAAGGGCGGCGAGAAGAGACAACAGAGGTTCAAAGGAGTATGAGGACGTCAAAGCAGTCCAACACAGGGCTGGGTAGTCGGGAGGTGGGAAAGATTTAGGCAGAAGGGAAAGAGTTCTAGAAGAATAGGAGAAAATGAATGTTCCTACACAGTCTAGACTACTGGGGGACGACACTCGGCTGTCAGTTTTGGAGTCCAAATAAGCCCCTCTTCATGTGGCCTTTGTCAAGGCTCCGACGTGAAAGAGAGGGGTCAAGGGATCATGAGAGTTGAAACCAGAGGCCGATCCTTTCCCTGAGCTAATGAAATGGGTTAAGCAAAGGCTCCGCTGAGCTGCAGTTTTAGCCGCTGCCAGTTAATTCCCTGCATCTTAAAATAAGAGGGGACGCCCATGTTGGGAAGGCCCAGTTGAATTACAGTGTGAGGACTGATCGCCAGGAGCTAGTTTCCTGTGGAGCACCGCGTCTCCGACAATGGTGCTGAGAAGCCCTAATGTACCACCAGGCATGCTGCTGAGTGATATTTTAATTAAGCCTTAAGTGACATATCTCCTGTCGGTGACTCTGACGGCTTTTTAATTCAGGTCCCATTGTAGCACGACTGTTAATATTCTTCTCTAATTCCCAGTTTTTTGCAGGGGAAAGTTTCCACGGCAGAGCGTCTCCCTCCCGTCCCAACCTCTGTCCTTGCTCTCCTCCCGCCCCCACCTCCAACCTGCTCCCCAAAAGAGACTTTCATTTGGGCCCCTCGAGCAGGAAGCAGGCAAAGGCAGGATTTCAGGCCTAAGAGGAAAGCGAGACTTACAGGTACCTGACTGGACAGACTCAGGTTTGCGGCCGTGGACTTCTTCTTGCTGCCAGTGCTGTTGGCATTGTTGCCAGCACTACTGTTGGAAGTGCTGCTGGTGGAATTTTTCCTTTTCCTCCGTTTGGTTGTCGGTTGCCTTGTGGGTTCTGCTGCAATATGGAAAAGGGAAGAGAGATCCGTTCCAGGGCAGAAAGGTCAAGGTGGTCATCAGAATGTTGACCCCCCAGTGCAGTTGTTTTCATAAACCAAAGAGTAGCCTGTTTTGAAATTTTTATATTTCTTGTAACTTTATAAAAAGTCAAAGGGTAAAGCTGTTGATTTATTCCAAGCACAAAATGTGTGAAATTCTTTTCTTTCTACGTAGATAAAATAATTCTATTTAATTGTTCTAATTATATGTCTTTAATTTAAAAATATATATTCTAGGGGTAAACTACAAGTATCACTTTCATATCTGCATTTAAAATAGTATGACTGTAAGGAAATTAGAGAAATATCTCTGCCCTGGACTAATGTCTCTTTATAACAAAGGGAGAATTTCTGGGATCTCTAGGGTATCTCCAAGGTGTGAGGCAAGCGGAAGCGGAAGGCGGCTGAATTGGTGAAGTAGTGTGCACCAGTGCACCTACTGGCTAAATGTCATATTGCAGCCTACCTCTATTACACCTTGAAAGGATTCTCAGGTAAAAAGTCCCTTCCATCAGCTGTGAAGGTGGCGCTTAGGGATTCCCAAGTCCAGTAAGAATATTCCTGGTTTGGACCCTGCTGTTTAAGGAATGCTACTGATTTCAAAATTGCTGGAACAAAAAATGTCTTATTAATATGGCATAGCCAGCACATTGCTGAAGGGAATCTAAACCTCTTTAAGAAAGGCCTAGCCGGGCTCGGTGGCTCAGCCTGTAATCCCATGCCTTTGGGAGGCTGAGGTGAGTGGATTGCCTGAGCCCGTGGGTTCAAGACCCGCCTGGGCAGCAAGACTTCATCTCTACAATAAATCAAAAAATCAGCTGGGCGTGGTAGCGCATGCCTGTAATTCCAGCTGCTTGGAAGGATAAGGTAGAAGGATCCCCGAGCCCAGCAGGTCGAGGCTGTGGTGGCCGGGAATGGCCACTGCACTCTAGTCTGGGAGACAGAGTGAGACTCCGACTCAAAAAAAAAAAAAAAAAAAAGAAAGTCCTATTCACAAATAGAGAAAAATATTTTGGACCCAAAGGATAGAAATATAGGGGGCCATGGTAATGTGTGGTATGAAGAATATTCTCTCTTTTTTTTATTATGTGTAGAGCATTATGTAATGGTAGGCACTATTCTTTATGTTTTCTGTGTATTAACTATTTTATGTTTTTAATAACCCTATTAATTAGATACTAGTATTATAATTGTTGTTTTGTAAGTGAGAACCCTTTGGAAGCCTTCTTCTGGCAGTTATTGATAAATTGGAAATGCCAATGGAGAATATCCTTGTCACTACACTGTTTTTAGACCTGACTGCAATAGAGAGAAGGCAAGTGAGGACTGTTCTAGAACTAGGTGAGAAGGCCTTGTTACATTTTCTTTCTTTTCTTTTTTTTGAGTTGGAGTCTCACTCTGTCACCCAGGCTGGAGTGCAGTGGC